CCTCGTCGCCATCGTAATCAGATCCAGCGACCCAGCGCCAGACTCCGACAAGAAGAGCATCTGCTCCCTCACGAAGGCCAGCAGCCGGTTGGAAGCAGCGGCGGTATCATAGAGAGTCTCGCTCTTTGTGAAGACCCTGATCCAGCCACCGCCGTCGGAGGCGACAACATACTTGACCGTCTAGCGGGATTGACCGCAAGACAGAGGTTCGGATGGGCGTCGTGGTCTCTATCGCGGAGGAACCGTAGGGTGCACAAAGTAGAGCGGCAGTCACTAGGAGCTGACTTTGAATGCAAAAATGATGTGAAAAGAGAGGATGCGTAAAGCCTGGTGGTCTATCTATAAAGAATATATAATCAAGACGCCCATGAAGAAAGGTATTAGATAAACTCAATTATCTAATGGGCCATCCACAACTAATTGCAAAAACAAGAAGAAAACTACAATAGTAATCTGATGACTGGGCTAAAAGTTTCATTAAAAATCAATACTTGATTATTGTCGGCAGTCTTTTGTCATATATTATATGGTGTGTTGTTTAATATACTCATTAGTATTACATTTGAGATGAAAGACCTATTTGCAGTTAATAACATTTATGTCGGGATGTCTAGACACAATATACCATATGCCATTACAATGAAGTATATCAAATTCAGTAGCCAGAACTGCCCTCTATGAAAAAGTGTTAAATACCTATGTTAGGTAAATTGGTTCACTGGAGGAGGCATCTGTAACAAGTCATACTTGAAAAGGATGGCATAGTGCTAGTTTTGCATGATAGGAAATTGATTGATTAATATCATATATTTGTAATAGACCAAGTGCAAACTAGTGGTGTGATAGATTCATCTTGTGACAAAGATAGTACAAAAAGAAAGATGACCTCAGACCATGTAGGGGATGTATGTACTTATGTAGTAATATGCTTTGAAGTTTCCTTTTTATGAGGGTTATTTGTTATAATTCCATCAGTAAATATTAGAGTTAATGAGGACATTGTTGATTTCTCAAGTATAAAAAACAACTTGGAAAGCACCCAATAATAAATGGTGCACTATTGGGAGCCATCAAAGTGTGTGCAGTATCTATTGATTGAGCTCCAACATGTGTAATGCAGCTTCATTGAAAACAACTTGTCAAGAAATGTAACGACATTTAGTGAAAAAAATGAGAGCATGATAGTTGAGATGCATAAGCTGTATAAGGAAGGACACAATATTTGAACCATTGAGAATATTCATATGCTGTATAAAAATGAAGGTTAGGATAGAAAGCATCCCAAAAGTGTGAAAAAATGAATAATCTACTGGTTTGCAGAATAAACATTCAAATGGAGATGGACCTTTGAAAAGTGTACAGAGACGATTTGAGGTAAGTAGCTGTGAAAACGTTATCATCTCAAAATTTATGTGATACAGATACATTGGAAAGAAGAGTAAGAGCATACTCAATGATGTGACGATGTTTATGTTACATTGTGACATTTTGTTCAGGCATGTGGACAAGATACACAATATTGAATACCACATTATTAAGGATGCTGATGGAAAGATTGAAATTCTGGATCGGTAGGAAAATAATATGAGAAATAAATTGATGTTCAACATGATGTTGAGATTTGAGGAATATGTCCAAAACATCATATTTAGGTTTAAGAGAAAACATCTAAGTGTATTTGTTGAAGTCATCAACAAAAAAGACAATAGGAGAAACCACAATTAGATTGTATGAGAGTAGGATCCTATAGATCAGAATGAACTAATTGTAAATGTGTTTATGTTATAGAAGAAAATCTTAAAAATCGTAATTTGTGAATTTTTGATAAACAACTTACAAATATATTGATTGAGATGATGATAATACACAAATCAAAATTATTAATAAAGTTAAATAAGATTAAAAAAATTATGTGACCTTAGTCTGCTATATGGTTGTTGATGCCCTTGGTTTTAATATTACAAACGAAAAGATATTTATTAAACATTGTAGTTTTATTTATATATGTCATAACTCTATATCAAATGCTCAATGTGTTTAATACAATTACAATATGGATTATACTTACCATTTTATGATCTTGTTATTAACAATCGAATCCAAAGTATTAATATTGAGATTAAAATATTTTTTATGTTAGAAGTATTTGATCATCAACAAATATTAGGTGAAAGATCATCCTTTGATAAAAAAATTGATGTGACTTAATCATTGTATAATAAATCACACAAATTTCAAATTTATAAAACTAGAAAATATCAATAAAAAAGTATTTAAACAAAAATAAATAAATTATTAATGCTCTCTCCTAGTTATTGAACCTTAATTATTGGTGTCACGACCTCTCCTAAATCAATTTTTGAACCTTCCTTACTTGATGGTAAAAAAACAATTGTTGAGGATTTGATCTAAACAATGATATTCTTGTTGAGTTTTTATCCATATAATCTGATGATATGTCACTGTCCAAAATTTGAATTTGAGACTTATTCTTATTTATCTTATTCATTTTCAAACTCTTTTGATGAGTTATTCACGTGAGGGTGTAGGTTATGCATGTGAGAGTAATAAACTATATAAGTTCATTTAGAGAGACTAGATGCTGCATTTCAAGGTTGATTTTAATCTGTAGATATACCATGTATATATTTTCTTTTATCAAAGAGTGATTCCTTGATGGATATTTTAATCAATGATCATGTGTTCTTATTATAAAGAATAATCGGATCTCAAGGATTAATACTTTAGATTCGATTGTTAGACATAGGATTATGAAATCAATAAATATAACTCATATGCTATCACATTAAACACATTGAACATTTGATGTGACTTCATGTCATACATAAGTGACTCTCAATATTCAATAAATTAATTTTCACTTGTAATATCAAAAGCAAAGGTATCAACAAGATGGAGATAGAAAAACATAATGGAGGAGAGAAAAAGGTCTTTATGACATAGAGAGAGATAGGAAAAGACAAAACAAACACAAAAGGAATAGAATGAAAAGGACCTCTAAGCCTACTATTGATTGATACTTGTTTTACAAGAGGTCCTAGGTTTCCTTTCATAAGAGTCATAGAGGCCCCTAAGTACTAGACATACATTCCATGGGGATAGATGGGTATCCATATATGTGAGAAATGGTAAAGGAGCAACCTCACAACCATTTGTCATAGAACCGTGGCCTTATCCCTGTGACCTTTTTTCTAAGAACTGATTTACTTACAGCTCGTTCATAGGTGATGGCAATACACTCTCTTAGTTAGTGTGCTATGATAGAGCCCTCATTGCGTCTGATGAATAGGAGGCTCTCATTCTACCCACAAGACATTTAGGTCATCATGGTGGTGATGGGGGTCTTGGAATACAGGGTGGGTGGCTCGAGGATGTTGTTGATGTATGACAAGATGTAGGCATAGGCAGGGACATTGTGCATCATGAAGCACTTGCTAAACCTGTTGTAGACTTTATAGGGTAGCACGGTGTCATAGGTCACTGCTAACTCCAGCTGCACCACCATAGAGAATTGAAACCTTTGGCCATGAGGGTTTGTACTTGGTCACCACAACTTTGGCTGCCTGCCCTTGTGCACCACCATCTGTTGTACCTCCTCGTTACTATTTGAAAAGAACACCATTGTTGATCCCTGAATGCTGCCCCCTCTATCACTGGATGGTGACTTGGAGTGCTCTTAGATGGTAGATTTACAGTGCAGAACTCCTTAGTAGAGGGACTCTACTAGAGATGATGAAACCCAATACTATTGTTGATGGATTAATAATAGACTCATATGAAAAGAAGGCAGAGATTGGATCAATGATAAGAGTATCATCCTCCCAAGGTTATGCTTTCAGTAGAATAACATGCATGGATGAATAGGATATGAGAGAGAGAGGGAGAGGGAGAGAAAGAGAGGGAGAAAGAGAGAATAATGCAATAAATAAAGAGAGGAATAACAAGGTCATATGGACCCTTCGCTAGACCATACTTAGCTCGAGATGGTCAATCTATAATTTTTCCTTTGGGAATCATACAAAAGCTTCTTCCACTCTTCATTCAGGCTTCGGCCTCCATTTAAGCACTAATCAGTCAAAATTATTGTGCCCATGATCACTTTTATGGCTGAAATATATTATCTTGTCAACCTTTAACTTGGTGCTCAAAGAGCACCTCTTTCATGGGTAAGAGGTCCCAACAAGGATTTCATCAAGACTCCAGCCCCCTGAGTCAGGCCACTTTTGTAGATGCCTTTGGTTTTGATAGGTTATTACTGAATATAAATTTATCTATATCACATATATGTCTCAAATATTTAATACATTCAATAGAGCTATTATATGTGTTATCCTTGTTGATTTTATAAAATTATATCTAGTGATCAAATCTAAATAAAAAGATTAAGATATGATTAAATGAGTATAAGCCAAAGAAAATCATGTGAAATATTTGATTTTTTTATTATATATTTCTCTAACTGTATTATGCAATGTTAGAAATTCGAAACAATATTAGATAAGTTCCCTACATGTATTGACCCATTATGAAAATAATAAAAAAGACTAATTTTTCAAGTTTCAGAAAAAGCATCTTGATGATGATATGCCAATTGCTTACATAGAGAAAAGGTGAAAGTAAACTTGAATTTATATTTAAAGTAGAAATCAAATTTCTCTCTATTAAGTTGGAAAACTTCCTTTCACATTTGAATGAAAGTAACTTCCAGAATAAGGAGATTCAAAGATTGAAAGGTTCAAATGTAATTATAGAAAATAGTAAATTTTGAATGAAAATTTCAAATATTGAAGACATTGTAAAATAGGGAAGTCAATTCAAGACAAATGCTAACTTATGAGAGAAGAGCTTTGAATTTAAAATTTATTGAACACATGAAGATTCATGACAACATCAAGGTATTATAGCTACAACCATCAACAATGAATGATAATGTTAGATCTTCTTCATTAATTGATTTTGGTGATTGATCAACTCAACCATCATGAATTTTGCTCTTGTTAGGTCTTAAGATAATTAGGTGATAAGGAAAGAGTGTAATGGTTCAAGTCATGAGGTACTGATAGTCATATTTGACCCAAGAGAGGTTGAGTTTCCAAATAGATGAACTTGAGTTGTTTGAGTATCTGATATCATGAATATCAATGTGTATTCCTCAAGAGAATAAGTAAATACGGGAGGAAAATGATTTAGGACTAGAAGTAGTTAAGTGAAGGATGAGATAATATAAAACGTTTCATATTCTTAGTGAGAGAGTTAAGAGGTTTTACAACAACACACGTGTCTACATATCCAGTGACACACACATAGATCTGACTTAAATTAAAAATAAGTAAAAATCTAAGAAACCCTAATTTACCTTCCTCCTTTATATTTCACTTAGTGAATAGTTCTAACATCCTAGAGATCAGGAGAGGCCGTGACGCCATCGTCAATCTCCCTATTGGCAGATGATGACAGCGCCTTTCTTTGCTGCTTCAGCCATGAACTGCCACCTCCCACAATGGAGCGCCTATGTCAGCATTCGTTAGAGTTGGTAGCGGCAAAAATCAGGGATAATTCCAGACGAGGATTCCAAGGACAGCGATGGTATTCCTTGACCTTAGGCGCACAAAGGGTGAAGAGTTTTGAAAAGGAAGGATTCACTTGATCAAATGATTTCTCTAACTAGCCTGCAGATCCCCAGCTCAGCTCTTCGACAGCTAACCCCAATGGGCGCAGAGAGAGACACACAGAGAAGGGGATGCGTAGACCAAACTCTGGCTTGGAGATGGACCTCCACGTTAAAGACGAGAAACTATAGGCCGATAGTAAAGAAAGCCCCATCATTGGCCGAAATCATATCGACCAATACTTAGCCCATTAATAAATCCGCACGTGGGAGAGTCAATGATGCACCTACCGCAGGACAAAACAGTTTTCTCGAACACCAGTAAGCGATTCCAAGGGAATCATTTGCTGGAAGCCATACATCTCGGGCAAGATTTTGGCGGGAAAAGCCCATTAAAAATTTTGTGTTGGGAGATTGCCACCTTTTGCCGCGGACCGGCCAGCTGGGCATCAGACGTGGCTATTAAGAAATGGACCGCCTCCGCAGGGGATTCTCCCATCCGATTTTTATCACATCCGCCGAAAAAGAAAGCCTGCCACATGGGAGACAACGTGGCTGTCCACATCAGACAATGATAGATAGATTCCATGCAAATCGTCATAAAGGCAGTACGTTCTGGAGACATGTTTTGGAATTGATTCATTGCAGCGGACAAAAATACCCATTAAAAGTTTATTTTTTACATCAATGGTAGCTTATCCACTGGGATCGTCGCTTAGACATTTCGCGGCAAGCGCAGATTCTACACGGGCCCTTTCAAGGTTATTCATTACTGAATCGACACCTAGAAAGGCCATGTGACGCCGAGGTGGCTGTCCAGGTCAGAAGGAAACTAATTCGCAAAATAAAATTTATTGGTCATCTGGTTAAACCCGTTTTTTAAGTTCAAATATTAGCTTAACCATGTAAAATAGATAGGTAGATAAATCCCTCTAAGGCTACTTCAATAAGTTCTCAATAATTACTAATTACGGTACCTCCCGTAGTAGCCTCCCCTCCACCCCCCCGCGCGGCTACGGTCGTAGTGTTTAGCTGGTTGCTGGTACCTTATCCTTCAAGGTGCTTCAATAGGAAGACGAGATCGGAGGATTGAATTATTGGTTCGGAGGTTTCTTAATGGTGATTCACAGATTGGTGGTACTGATAGGAGGATCCTGCTGGATAAAGAAGACGGTGTTCGAACGTAAGGCTATGACGATGAGTATCATTAAATATTCGTGGTGATCATTCAACCTTCTCGTGGGGTTCTCTGCTCTCTACAGAGAGAGAGAGCGAGAGAGAGAGAGAGAGAGAGATCTCGTCTTCCTCTTCGGCATCTCTTTCTGCTATGGAAGGAGGAGGGATGAGAAGCAAGGTTGAGGGCGTGAAGGCGGAGATAGAAGGGAACAAGCCAGCGGAGGGAATTTGGGAACTGGGGATGAGTCCGCTAAGCCAGGCGTTGTGGAAGGAGAAGGTAGAGACGGAGTTCCTCGGCGACGTGTCGGCGAAGCTGTCGTGGAAGGATCTGACCGTCACGGCGACGGTAGGCGTGGGGGAGGCGAAGACGCTGCTGTCGGGAGCCACCGGCTACGCCAAACCCAGGACTCTGACGGCGGTGATGGGCCCTTCGGGGTCGGGGAAGTCAACCCTCCTTGACTCTCTCTCCGGCCGCCTCCCCTCCAACGCCTTCCTCTCCGGTACCATCCTCCTCAATGGCCGCAAGACCACGCTATCCTTTGGGACTGCGGTAAGTTGTTATCTCCTTCTCCTCCGTCGATGACATCTCACAAAGACAGACAGATACATAGATCGAGAGAGAGAGAGAGAGAGAGAGAGAGAGAGTATGGGAAGCAAGAAAGTTATCTTTCTCGATTATTTTTCTAACTAGGAATCATCTCTGTCAATCTCGACTATGATTAACCCCTCATCTGATACAGTCATCAGGCATTGAATTTGGGACCAAAATATATAACCTACTGTCAAAATTTATTGAACACCGACGATTTCATTGTTAAAACTTTTTTGGAGTTCAACTATGATTATCTAAAGTCCATCTTTTACAGGCTTACGTGACTCAGGAGGACAACCTGACCTCCACTCTGACAGTGAGGGAGACCATATCCTACACGGCAAACCTCCGGCTCCCGGAGAAAATGCCGTGGTCGGAGAAGAAGCGCCTCGTGGAGGGAACCATCGACGAGATGGGCCTCCGGGACTGCACCGACACGCCGATCGGCAACTGGCACCTGCGCGGGATCAGCACCGGCGAGAAGAGGCGGGTCAGCATCGCCGTCGAGATCCTAACGCGCCCCCGTCTCCTCTTCCTCGACGAGCCGACCAGTGGTCTCGACAGGTAGGAGGAAGCTCCACCGAACGCCCTTTCACCTCCCTAGGGTTTCCTCCGATTCCTCTTAGCCCGGCGGCCTTTTTCAGCGCCTCCGCCTTCTTCGTCGTCCAGACGCTGAGAAACCTCGCCAGAGATGGAAGAACAGTGATCGCCTCCGTCCACCAGCCCAGCAATGAAGTCTTCGGCCTCTTCGACCACCTATGCCTGCTCTCGGCAGGACGAATCGTCTACTTCGGCCAGGCATCGGAAGCGTACGATGTAGGCCGACAACCTCCTCTTCACTTTCATCTGATTTCCATGTAAAGAGATCTAAGCCGAGAATCTCCGATCGTCAAGTTCTTCACCCACGCCGGGTTCCCGTGCCCACCGCTGAGGAACCCCTCGGACCATTTCCTCCGGTGCATCAACTCGGATTTCGACAAGGTTGGAGCCACACTCAAGGTAGGATCTCTCTTCCCGAATCTCTAGCCCACGGAATGAACGATTTCATCTCCTAACGGAGCTTTCCATCTCTCTTCCTTCTTCTCTAGTCTGAGCGTGGGGTTGATCCCCCGGAGGAAGTCACCGCCGCAGAGGCGACCCTGCGGCTGATCCATTTATACAAGACTTCACCGTATAGCCGTGCGACGAGAGAGGAGATAGAAGAGATGGCCAAAGTGGTACGTAGACTAGACACGAACGAAGACTGGCTGATTGAGATGTTCCCAGTACAGGTTCTCACCGGAGCTTCGTCTTGCAGGAGGGTCTGGTATTGGAGTCGATGGGAAGCCAGGCCAGCTTCCTGATGCAGACTCGGACCCTGGTAAGGCGGTCCTTCACCAACATGTGGAGGGATTTCGGGTACTACAGGATGCGGTTCATCATCTACGTGATCGTCTCCATCTGCATTGGGACCATCAACTGGAACCTGGGAACGAGTTACACCGCGATCCAGGTACTCTCTCTTCTTCCCGCCTCGGCTTCTCCTTACTGAACCGTAACTCCGTGGAGCTGGCTGAAACAGTCGAGAGGAGCATGCTCCGCTTTTGTCTTCGGCTTCGTCACATTCATGTCAGTCGGAGGATTCCCCTCCTTCGTCGAGGATATGAAGGTGGGCTTCGCACCAGGGCTCTTCAAGTGAGAGTGAGAGAGAGAGAGAGAGAGAGAGCATATTAATAAATCTTCGAGAGTGCAGGTTTTCCACAGAGAGAGGCTCAATGGGCACTACGGCGTGGCGGCATACGCCATCAGCAACACGCTCTCGGCGGTGCCCTTCCTGATCCTCATCTCTATCACCGCCGGGACCATCTGCTACACTATGGTGCGGCTCCACCCGGGGTTCAGCCACTACATCTTCTTCGTCCTGTGTCTCTACGCTAGCATCACCGTCGTAGAGAGCTTGATGATGGTCGTGGCCACCTTCGTCCCCAACTTCCTAATGGGCCTCATGATCGGCGCCGGAATACAGGTGAGCCCTCAACACCACACCTCACAAAAACAGTAGGACGGCAGCTGTGTGACGAGTCATTAATGTTTCGTGGACCAGGGGATCTTCATGCTGGTTTCCGGGCACTACCGGTTCCCAAAAGATCTCCCGAAGCCCGTCTGGAAGTACCCCTTGTCCTACATGAGCTTCCAATTCTGGGCCTTACAGGTAAGCGCTGACCCGCGGAGGCGGTAAAACAGTCAGTCTTCGTCGATCAGTGGGTTTCATTACAGTATATCCTCTCACCCCCGAGCAGGGCCAGTACAAGAACGACCTGAAAGGGCTCTCCTTCGACAACCAGTCGCCGGAGCTCCCCAGGATCTCCGGAGAGTACGTGCTCGAGAAGTTCCTGCAGGTCAGCATCCACCGGTCCAAATGGATCGATCTGGGCGTCCTCTTCAGCATGGTCGTCATCTACCGGCTCCTGTTCTTTGCCATGATCAAGCTCGGAGAGGAAGTGGCCCCGCGCCTCAGGCGACGCGCCGCCAGGAAGAGGCTGCTCCGGCAGAAGAGGAAGGGCAGCGCCGCCGGCGACGTGGCCCTGGGCTCCCTCGACCGATCTCCGTCCCTGAGGATGTAAGGAGAAGATACTTTCCACAGGGTAGCTCTCTTCTAGAAGCACCCCTACAGCTTGCTTGATCGGGAGGATATTCTCTCATATTATCAACGGATAAATGGTTTGTTAATGTTTTTCTTCAACATAAAAAATGCTTTGAAAATTTCAACCCATGAAAATACTCCCCATATCGGTAATAAATAATGTCGACAATCTGAAGACCCTATCTTCTAGACGGTTCTCGCTTGTACGGAAGGCTTGGACTTTTATGTCGAATGCCAGGACTACCTTATAGAACAAAAAACGGTGCGAGCATACATTCCCTCCTGACCCTCACACGCAAAGCGGGGGGATATTCGATATTCCCCCTTGCCTTTCATATTGGACCTCCGGATATGAAAGGGCACTAGAGAAGAGAGACGAGATGGGGAATCTTTGGAGTTGTAAATCCAGACGTGGCCGCCGCCCAAGCCAAAACTAAAACCTACTCGCGTGAAGGGCTCTCCCGGCGGAGCGCTTTGAGGGCTCAGGAACAGGGACTTGATCTCCTGCCGACTGGCGGAGAAGAGGAGGCCCTACCCCTGCCATAGCGGTAGGAGGAGACATCGAAAATGAAGACCTTCTCATGGTTGACGGCAAGGAGGTAAGCCCCTCATGGTCTGCACGGAGACAGTGCCTCATGGTTGACGGCAACTGCTAGACATAAGAAAAAATCAATTTTAAGACAATATAATCATAAAAAAGGAGGTGATTGTTGAGTTATTGATTAATTCATTATGATTGTGATGATTTTTAGGTATTAATATGAAATTATGAAATTGGTAATATGTGATGTCAGTTTAATTATAAATTGATGGTTTAGATAAAATTAAAGAGTATATATTATTTCATCAAAGAACTAATGTCTACATCATATGAAATATATCATTTTATTTCAATTCTTGTTAGGGATGTAAGTATTAATTACATGGGTACGAAGTCTATAACATGTCTATGTGAAGGAAATATTTTATTATCTTACATGTAAGTCTTAATATTTTATTTTTTTATATCAAATGGCTTCACGAATACAAGAATAATTATAATTAATATAAGGGTATTTGAGTGAGGAGTCAAATGAAATATTTTTTAAAAAACTTATCAAGGCTATAGTTTGTTATTAATTTTACAAGATTATTAATTTAATATCGTTACATATGGACACCATATTAGCTTAATCTAAGATGAGTTTTGAAGGATTTAGAAGAGGAACGAAGATCATTCATTAGGTTTTAACTAGTTTGACTCATTTCTATCAAAACATACGAAATCAAAAAAACTACCATAAACTGATGTAAATAAATATTAAAAAAAAAACTCATTGCTTAAAGTTAGTTTGCCTCTTAGACCACTAGAGACAATTGTGTGGTGGCTTGGTTTCATCTAGACATACCACATCATGCTGGAAATCTCAGACATATTGTCTGTAAATTTTGCACCACTTGTTGAAGAGATCTATCAAAGAGAAGGGTCCCTAGTGACTAGTCACTAGGGACCTTGACTACAATTGGGGGAGGAAGGATCGAGCTCACCGATCACTGAAGGTATTGATCGCCCAAGGGAGAGGAAGAAACGGATCCCATCTTTGAGACTGTTGATGGGATTTTAAATATAATTGATAATATCTATTCTATCTGAAAATAATTGAAAATTATTTTTATATCCCTAACACTGATACGTGTGAGAACTTAAGTTCTCAGTATCATGGTGCTTCACTTGCCGTTGGATCAACTGTGCCTAGTCATGTGGCATGCTAATTGATGTGGGATCAATTCATCATGAACTGTTACTATACGAGTGCTTTAAGTTTCTAAGTGTTGTGGCGCTTCACCAACGATCAGCCTTTCTAGTCATGTGGCCTGCTGAGTGATGTAAGATCCACAATCCGCTGACTGAATGTTTTATGTTTTGAGTATCATGGTGCTTTGCTCGCAGCAAGATCCGCCTTTTCTGGTGACGTGATGTGCTAAGCACCATAGGATCTACTTGTTGAGAACTAATGTACTGAAACATAGAAAAATCATTTGTCCCACATTAGATTTGCCAATAGAAATGTCATGTATATATTATAATGCTTTATTATCTTCCCAACAAGTCTTCAATCTAGGCATAAGCCATGGGCCATGAGGATGGTTGTCTGTGGCCTATTATTATAAAATAAAATAAAGTATATCTATAATAATTAATATTAAAAATAAATATAATATAATATATAAATTATTTTATTTATAAAAAAAACATACATTAACTCTTTTAGTTTCTAACATCTGAAATTAACTATATAAAACTATATTTCCTTGTATGAATTAAAATAATAAAGTACTTAAATGAAACAAACTAAGAACTAAAAATCAAACATTAATAAATAACCCCATTTTGAATTTCGCTAGTCCCTTAACAATAACCAAAGAACTTTACAAAATTAAAATTTTATTTTTATTTTACATCATTTATTTTCTCATTTATTTTCACGAGAGATGATATCCAAATAAGTATTCAGATATTCATGTGATTTGAAATAGGTACTCAACATATTCGGAATTAACTATTCTCAAAAAAAATAAGATTGATTTCCATTTTCCTTAATGCATGAAATTCAATATCCTTCATGTTCAACAATCACTAATTAAGTGATCAAAAGTTTACTCAAGTTTTTAAACTATCTTCAACCTTATATCCTAAATTTGTGAACCTAAGTAGTGTATTCCATTTCTCTCTTGATCATATCATAGGTAGGTAGCTTTTTCCATATATCTTGTCTAAATCTCACATGTAGGAAGTCTCCACAAGACAAGTGGAAAATCTCCATAGAAGCATTTAATACTCATCTTGTTATTATTGTTCTAGTCTCGTATATAGAAAGGTTTATGAGGAACAAGTGGGAAGCTCCTAAAAAATTTCATGAGTTGAGTATTACACTCTACCATATGATTATGTATTTATTTATTTATATATAAAAATATTTTAAAGAGCTAATGGTCAAATACTCGGGATTTCTCATTCTAAGAATGCCTATGTTCCAATAATTTTAAAGATATCTTCACCTTGTTTACATTTAACTTCATGATGCCTACTAATTCAAAATATGAATTCATAGCAATCAGATAATGATCATCAAGATATATTCTGAAAATATTTCATCCTTCAATGTACTACATTTTTTTTTATCCCTTGAATTACTAAATCTAACACATTTCAACCTTCAAACTTAACTAAATTCATCATCCTATAGGAAAAATGTAGAAATCCATATATTTCAATTATTAGTTATTTTTATTAAAACAATTATTTTCTACTATAACATAAATAAATGACATGAGATATATTATCAAATTAAATTGTAAAAAAAAGATGTATACTTATAAATTAGAAAGTATGACATGATAAAAATAAATGTATGAGGTAATACTAAAATACAATAAGGAGAAATGAAATTCTAAATTTATTAAGTATAGAGTACAAATTAAAATTTCTATTAATAAAATTATTGGGTTGCCTCCTAATGAGCTTTAAGTTTAATGTCTTCAGCTAAACATAATTTTATGATGATTATATGAATTTTATGTCATGATCTAATGGATCTTTATTATAATATTTCTAATTTAATGCATGGATATGAAATAATTAATTGATCAATTTTCTGAACATAATTCATTTCCTCTATGTAAGAATTAGTTACCTCAATATTTTCATAATTATCATCACCCTCATGTGAAAATCTTGAACTTTTAAAAATATTTAAAAATATATTTTAACCTTTAGATTTCATATTTATAATCCCATTTTCGCAATCAATGTTTGTTTTATTTATGCCAAGAAATTGACATCCTAATATGAGCAATGTATGAGTAAGTTCATCTAAAATAAGAATATATAAAATAAAAAAATCTACCAAAATCTACATCCTTTAACATTGATGATAACATCTTCTAGGAGACTCTTAGGTATTTTAATATATCTATCAGCTAGTTGAAGTTCCATTAAAGTTAATTTTAGTTCTCCTAATTTGAAATTTTCAAAAATAGCTGAAGGTAATAAATTAACACTTGCCCTAAATCTAAGAGCACATTTCTAAATATAATTTCAGCCATTTTACATGAGATGAGAGGTGTTCTTGGATCATTACATTTCTTAGGCAAATAATGCGAAATAATGGCACTAACCTCTTCAAATAAAGATATCTTTCGAGGTGACCTACATAATGTGGATAATTCTTTTAAAATTTTCACAGATGTAGGTATATGTTTAATTAGATCTATCAAAATAATAGAGATATAAAACTATTTAAATATTTTCATAAGCTCTTTATTAGGTTCAGCTCTTATCCTATGTTTTGATTCTAAAGCCTTAGGAAATGAGACTATTGTTCTAGGTTCATCGAGCTATATAAAATAAAATGGGAGTGAGTGATCTATTCATTTCTGATCTTTCTACTTTTGATTCATATTTTTCTTCCTCTAAATTTTCAACATTAGAAAACAAACTCTCATGATCATTGTCATCATCATTTAAAACTTCACCATCACAAACTTATTTTTCTAAAAACTCCAATGCATATGGATCTTTGAGTTACTTTTCACTCTTCAAAGTGGTCATCACTTCTACATTTTTAATATCTTGAGATGTAGATGGTTCATGATGGTTAGAAGGTCAATTTTGTGGGTTCATGATGGGTTGACTAAGAAGGTGACCTGTTTCACGTTCTGAATTGGTCAAGACTAATTTACCCATCTCTTTTTCTAGCTTAAGAGTTGTTTATTGATTTTCCTCAATTTATTCAATTATCTTAATCATAGATGTATTTATTTCTTGAAATTATTGTATCATTTGCTCCATAAATTTTTGCCTTGAATTTGAATTCAGATTGATTTTGATATGAATTAAGATATTGTGGGCTGAAATTGGTAGTTGAACTTGTGGAAGAATGGATGAAATTGGGGGTTGGTGGCTGATGAGTACCCTATTGAAAACTATGAGTATTTTTT